GTAAAAGCTTAATTTTTTTTTTCTCACGGCCTTTATCTCTTCTTTCTTTCGCCCTTCCCCTTCCCTTTTTCTCTCACCTTCACTTCCTTCGTTCTCCCACCTTCCCCTTTCCTCTTTTTCTCCTCTTCTCCCTTCCTCTTCCTCCGCCCTTTCCCTTCCTTTTTTTCTTCCATTTCTTTCCCATTCCCTTTTCCCTTTTCAGAACTGTCTTTCAGAAAAACAATGGTAAGTTTTGAAGCAAACCGCTTTGAAACTTTTTTAAATTTAAATTTTTTTTTTTAATTCTTTGTTGTAAGGAAACGTTTCTAATGTTTCCTTTCTTTCTTTTTTGTAGGATTTTTGATGTTTTGACTTTGGGAAACGAACTGAAATTATGGTAAGTTTTGAAGCGTTTTGCTTCGAAACTTTAAAATAATTTTTTTTTTACTTTTATAAGGATCGTTTTTAACAATCCTTTATTTTTTTTAGGTCTTTTGGTATTTTTGATTTAGGAAATGAGGAAACGAAAATGGTAAGTTTCGAAACGTTTGCTTCAAAACTTTTTTAAAAAATTTTTTTTTTAATTTTTTTTTGTAAGGAAACGTTTCTAACGTTTTCTATTTTTCTTTTGTGTAGGTCTTCAACTTCGGAAAGTGAAATGGTAAGTTTTGTGTTCAAAACTTACTTTTTTTAATTTCTTTTAGAAAACGTTTCTAACATTTCTTTTCTTCTTTTTGTAAGAACGCTGAACGAAATTACGACCCAAACTTTGAGAGAAAAGTAATATTTTCTTTTTTTTTGTTAAATTTTTTTTTTTATTAAAAGAAACGTTACCTAATGTTTCTTTCCTTCTTTTTGTAGATTCCAGATATTTGGATGAAACGAACTGGTGAGTTTTATAACAAATCGTTGCGAAACTTAATTTATTAATTTTTTTTATTAAAAGAAACGTTAATTAACATTTTTTTCTTTTTTTTGTAGATTTCAGATGTTTGAAACTCGAAATGAACTGGTAAGTTTCGCAACAATTGTTGTGAAACTTAATTTTAATTATGTTTTTGTTAAGAAACGATACTAACGTATGTTTCTTTTACTTTTTTGTAGGTTCTGGACGTTTGAATAATAAAAATCAAAACGAACCAGTGAGTTTTGCAACATTGTGTTGCGAAACTTAAATTTTTAATTATTTTTTTTAAAGAAACGATACTAACATACGTTTCTTTTACTTTTTTGTAGGTTCCGGACATTTGAATAATGGAAATCGAAACAAACTGGTAAATTTCGCAATATTGTGTTGTAAAACTTAAATTTTTAATTATTTTTTTTTTTAAAGAAACGATACTAATATACGTTTCTTTTACTTTTTTGTAGGTTCTGAACATTTGGATAATGGAAATTGAAACAAACTGGTAAGTTTCGCAATATTATGTTGCCAAACTTTATTTTTATTTATTTTTTTTTAAAAAACGTTAACTGACGTTTCTTTTCTCCCTTTTTGTAGGAATACCAGACAAAATTACGACCTGGACTTTGGTTAAAAGGTAATATTTTTGGTTTTTTTTGTATTTATTTATTAAATAATTTTTTTCTACGAAACGTTAACTAACATTTTGGTTTTTTTTATAGATCCATGGCTTCGCCTCCAAGACGAGATTTTGAAGGTATTTAAAATCAATTTTAATTTTTTTTTTGTTTAATGAAATATTAGTAAATGTTTACTAATGTTTCGTTTATCTTTTTTTTTGTAGTTTATTTTCTGGTTGCCTTCTGGACAGAAGAATTTTGAAGGTAAATATAAGAACCTTCGAAATTTATTTGTTTTATTTACAATGAAACGTTTACTAACATTTCAGTTTTCATTTTTTAGGTTCCAGGGTACCGTTTCAGCATTTCGAAGGTATTAGAACTTCAAAATTATTGGATTTTTGTTATGTAACGAAACATTGTTTAAAGTTTCATTTATTTTTTTTTTTGTAAGTTAAAGGAAAAAGGGAAAGGTGAAGACAAAAGGAAAAAGGGAAAAGGAAAGAGAAAGGGAAAACTGAAATGGAGCGGAGAAACATTTTAAAGGTATACTTCAAAATGTTTGTTATACCTTCGAAATGTTTGTTGTTTATTTTCTTTTTTAACAAAATGTTTATTAACGTTTCATTTATTTTTTTTTTTTTTAGATTCGATGGCTTCTTGAATATACCGGAATTCAATATTTCGAAGGTATATTATACTTTGAAATATCTTTTTTTATTTTTATTTTTTCAATAAAACGTATATTAATGTTTCATTTTTTTTCTTTTCTTAGGTTTGTCCTTGAACATATGGAATTTAACATTTTGAAGGTATATAACTTCAAAATGTTTTTTATTTTAATTTTTTTCAACAAAACGTATATTAATGTTTCATTTTTTTTTCTTTTTTAGGTTTTCACCAACTTCTACTTCAACATCGGATATTTGATATATAAATGAATTAGAGGTGCAGATTATCTATGGATCATTGGGTATCTGATGAATATAGATTATCGTTAAATAATAATAATTGTACATTTAGGCCGCTCCAACAAATAGTTTCATTTAACATCACATGACATGAAAAAAATAGAGGGGGGCGGGGGTAAAATTTTGTACATATTAAATTTTAAACACATATATAAAGTCACGTTATTTTATTAGATGTAATGATTGTAACGTTAAGTTTGCGATATTGTATCACAATCGACCACTTGTATCAACACTTAATTTATATTATTAACATGTGAACAAATCGTATTTTCTTTTTCTTTTTTCTTTATTCGATAAACTTTTCTTTTTCTTTCGTGTAGTATCAGTAAATAAAACTGCAGAACTGACGATACTTTTTTTGGAAATTATATACATCAAATGTTGTATTTGTTTGTAACAGCCTATGAAAATGGCATATCTTTAGTAAAATCAGCAGTGGTTGGTATTAAAG